GAAAAGGAAACCCTCATACAGTGTTTATGGAATTGTAAACTGGTAGAGCCATAATGAAAAACAGTATGGAGGTTCCTCAAAAAAATTAAAAATAAAACTACCATATGATCCAGCAATTCCTTATCTGGGTATTTAATCCAGAAGAATATGAAAACACTAACTAAAAATATATATATATATATGTACCCCTATGTTTATTGCAGTATTATTTATAATAGCCAACATATGAAAACAAGCAAAGTGTCTATCGATGAATGAATGAATGAAGATGTGGTATATATACAATGGAATATTAGTCATAAAAAAGGAAAAATTGCCATTTGTGACAACATAGAAAGATCTCGAGGGTATTATGCTAAGTGAAATAAGTCAAATGGAAAAGTACAAAAACTGTATGATTTCACTTATATGTGAAATATAAAACAAAAAAGTAGCATGAACTAACATAACAAAAATAAACTTATAGATACAGAAAATAGAAGGGATTACCAGAGGCAAGGGATGAGGGCGGGGGGAGGGCAAAGAATATATGGTAACGGATGGAAACTAGACTGTAGGTGTGAGCATGCAATAGAGTATAGACACTGAATAATAATGTTGTATACTTGAAATTTATATAATGTTTTTAACCAATGCTACCTCAGTAAAAAAATAATTTTAAAATTCTCAATTAATGACAGGAGAAAAAAAACACAGTGGGGAGAACTAGCAGGTAATTATTAAGAGGAGAGATATAAGGATATCGAAAACAATAGCCTAAAGTAAAAGAGAGAGAGAGAGAGAGAGAGAGAGAGAGAGAGAATTTATATAGAGCAAACATGAAATTTTAAAATAAGTAAATATCAGGGACTGTTAACACTTAGTGGGATGAAATTAATAAATAAGAACTGGCATTTGAAAGGCATGTCTTACAATGTTTTACAACAGGAGAAAGACGCCTATAAATCAATACATATCCAGATATATGGAAATACTTGACCATGGAATAAAGGAAACCCTAAGTGAAGCTAAAAAAGTCAATAGCTATATTATCAGATGGAGCATTCTTTTTGGTCACTTGACCAGATGCAGTACTTAAAGTTTTCTGAAACATGTTGAAAACAAGCATAAGGACAAAATACAGACATGATATAATGATAGCTTAATTTTGCCCAAATCAGAGCATCTGATGAATTCTTACATGCTGAAAATTTTCTCCTTTAACAGATAAAGCGAGCATTGAGGGGAAATGATTTAACTATTTCATACTTATATTTGAACAAAGAGACAGAAATGAATGATGATGTAGAAGTGACAGGAACGGTGGTAGTGGCCATGTCCAGGAAAAACAATCAAGGGCGTTGTCAAACATGTAGCCTACACCTGTAATTGGACATTTCGACAGTCACTCATGGTATACTTAGGAAACAGGAGACATGGTAGATTTATAGATGGCTTAAGCAGAGCAATGATTAGCAGATTCATGTTAACCATGAGGAAGTCCACTACTTGATCTATTTTTGCTTTGGTCCTACAAAACATTTTAGATCAATAGTTTGAAGAAATGGGAGCACTTCTATACATTTCCAGGTGACACAAAGCTAGAAAGGAGAGTTAACTTGCAGGATAAAACATTCCATTCAGTAAATATTGATGGAGCATCTTTATTGGCAAGGTGTTAAAGTGAATACAAAGATCAAGACACAGCTCTTCCTTTCATGACTTCCTTTTTCAATAGGAGAGACAACATATGTGTAAGTAATCATTGAAGTAGGTAAGAATAATTTTCACAAAAAATGTAGATATCGTGGTTAGACTGGTCAATGTTGGGAGATACTGCCTAAGTTTTATGTGTTGGTGGGTTAGGAATCTGGGAGGATTTAGTGGACATGTTCACAGGAATGTGTTAGATGAGTAGAATCTGGGCATGCAGTAATTAAGAGAAGGAGAATTTAGATTCAGAGGTGGAAAAGCATGGAGCATATATTGGGAAGGATTTGTGGTTTGGTATGAAGAATGGAATTCAGGACAGGGAGCGGTAGGAAACAAAAGTTGGGAAATAAGATTCTGGGATCCAGGCTGGCACAATAAACTAAAAACAATAAAATGAAATTTAACTTGGATGAACTTGCAGTTTAAAGATGGCAGTGTAAAGATGTTGTTCCCCCTTTCCTCTTGAAAATTACCCCCAAACAGTGAGGCTCAAACTCCACTTTTAATGACTCAGAGGTATATATGAACCACAATAACATGGAAATTAAAAGCAGGAAAGCAGGTAAAAGAATGATTGATGACTCTGCACAGATAGGCCAAGTTCACTTCCAGAACCGTGGAAATGTTGAGGAATCAGAAATACCCGTACCAAAGGCGGAGAGGAGGCAAAGGACTGAAATCAGAAAAACTGGGCTAAAAACAGGAAAAGACCAAGGCAGGAGAAACTAAACCCCTGCCCATAATCAGTGACACGAAGCAAAAGGAATGGGCTGAAGCTAAAGTACTATCGAACTTAAAAAAATAAAATTAATAATCATTTATTCTTTCTTAAATGTTTCTAAATAAAACTTACTTTAATGATGTTATAATATAGGTTGGAATATTTTTAAATAGTTCTTAATGAGAAGGGCTTTTTTTTTGGAAATACATATGCTCTGGCTTGAAGTCCCAACTTCAGAGATTTTAATTCAGTAGGGTAGGGACCAGGAATGTGTATTTTGACAGAGCTTGTCAATCTAAAAATCACTGAGCCAGTGTAAAAAAGAAATCTATCTCCAAAACCCATCAAAAGGTAAATGGCCTAGAGAAAAACAGAGGCATTTTCATTTGTTGGTAAGCACTATGTGTCAGGTATTGTTCTAGGAACTGGGAATAGTGCAGTACCCCAAGTAATCCCCTACCCTCATGGAGTTTGTATTTTTGTACAGGGGGATACACCCACACAGTATGTAGGATATGTAGTATTTAAAATAATATCAGAAGTTTATATGAAGAAACATATAGCAGGTAAAGGGTAAAAGGAATGGGGCCAGAGAGAAGGTACTACATGGGTAAAGATTTGAAGGAAGTGAAGGTGTACATCATGATGATGTCTGGGGAAAAATGTTTGAGGCAGAGAGAACAGCTGATGCAAAGGCCTCGAGGGACATCAAGGAAGCCTGCAGAGCTGGAGCAGAGTAAGCCAAGGTAAGGGATCAAAAAGGTAAAGGGAGAGCTAAATTGTACAGTATCTTGTGGGCCTCCGAAGGACTTTGGCTTTTACATCTAGTGAGATAGGAAGGCATATGAATAAAAAAATGAATACTAAAGGAGCCATTTAAAAATATGTATGTGTATACACATATATATTATATATATAACTCTGAAAAGTAATGGAACTTGCCTAATAATTAATAACAAAAATAATTTCAAGTGGTATCTTAGAAACCTTAGCTGGCTAAGTTAAATCTAGACACTACCTAGTATAGTACCTTAAAGTAAGTGTTTAATAAACACTTGTGGAATAAATGGACAGTGTTTTATACAGAAAAAGAAAATAAGTGTTTTTAAAGTTGTTGTAAAATCAGAGGTAATGCATCAAGAATATAAGTTATGTCCGGCGGCATGGCTCAGTGGCTGAGTGTTGACCTATGAACCAGGAGATCACGGTTTGATTCCGGTCAGGGCAAATGCCCAGGTTGCGGGCTTGCTCCCCAGTGTGGGCCGTGCAGGAGGCAGCTGATCAATGATTCTCTCTCATCATTGATGTTTCTATCTCTCTCCCTCTTCCTTCCTCTCTGAAATCAATGAAGATACATTAAAAAAAAAAAGAATACAAGTTATTCTAAGACATAGTCTTTTATCAAAGATGTCTGGGCCTTCTTATAGAAACCATCCAGTAGATTTTCCTATTTCATACTTTATATGTTAGGCAAGAAGAGTCACTCTGAAACCTTTCTTTCCTCTTTTGTTTGAGAGAGTCAAACACAATTTTTAACAGTCCACATTTTAGACTTAGCTTAAGCTTTTGTGGATTTTAGCTTTAAAACACTAATTTATCATGGTTCAGATCAAAACAGCTCTACTTTATTCTTTTAATAAAAGGACTTCATATAGTTTCACCCCAAAGTCTGGTTCAGTTTTTCCTACAGACTGGATAGAGCCCAGGGTTTTGACTATCTACGGAGAATTCTGAAAGTGACAAACCCACTGCTCTGACAGCCAGGAAAAGCGAAGGTACTTTCTCCTCCCCACTGTGACCACTGCAGCTTCCAAATGAGCCCATCCACTCTTTCTGGTTGCCAGATACTATTTGTTTTAAATTATTTTGGTGATAAAAATGCATGGACAGCAAAATAAATCTGTTCTTCTTTAGTATTAGTTCTTCCTTTGCCTGATAATGGAATGGTACAAAAACATTACTCTTTTAATTGACAGAAAAGTGATGGGCAGCTAGCTCCTTCAACTATAATAGGACTTCCTACAGGAATGAAAGGAAATTGGCTTTTGGTGTCATAGACAGCTGCAGATATTTCTGGTATCATACCATGGAGTGATTTCCTAGGGAAAAAATGTAAATTCTAAAATCATATAATAAATTAAAAGCATTACCTTACATGGCCAAGAGATGTATGCTCTTTTCTATGAACCAATACACTGACAGATAAAATTCAGAATAAAAATTTACAAAAAAATTATTTGTGCTAGCATATGGGAACTAAGCTAAAGCCGTATGAATAGTCCGCTTTCATTCCTCTATCAATACATCCAAGATTTGCAATAATCTTATGCAAAGCAAAATATGTATATATAAATCTATATTAAACTGTTAGTCTGAAGTGTGAGATCAATTTTAATTAGAAAGAGTTGACTTCTGGTTACTTTTTTTCAGTGCATTAATTGAACATCGGAAAGAAATAAGTAAGAGAGTAGAAAACTTGGGTCACTCGGTTTAGCAGTTGTTCAGGTTGAAAATAACAATGAAACCTCCAGGGTTAAGAATTTCAAATGAGGCTGCTAGACAGAGAAGACAGACCAAATCAGCTTACCACTTGAACCATTTTGAGATATCTGGCATATCTTGGATCCTTGGCTACAGTTAAGATATTTTCTGCTGTTACTTCACTTTCCTGTGGTCCAGATTCTTGTAAACTGTTCTGCTGTAGAGAGTATTGCGTGTAAATCTTTAGACAGTTCACAAAGGGGTCCATCATGTTACTTAAAAGGGATGTTTCTTTTTATAATTCTAAAGCAATTAATATCAGAAAAATCATATTTATAAATTTAAATAGCAATAATTTAATTATAAGATGTATGTTTCCAAATATTTATAAACATTTAAATGACTTCAGAGGAAGCTATACTTAAAAACACTATATTGTTCCTTAAGAATGCAAATATATTTATGGAAATAAAAATATTAGAATTTTGCTTTACTTATCCCCAGGGTGCTGATAAAAAAAGATGCATTATAGGTGGACATATTACTTTAATAAAACTTCTAATAAAGCTAATAAAACTATTTGATTTGTCTATTGTTCAACTCTAATGGACAATGAACTCATTTTCCAGGTATCTACCATCTACACAATTGAATTCTTCATTTACTAAACAATCTTTTTCTAAGTAGCTATGGCTATTCTAACATTTCAGAAAGCAATGCCCAGAAAATTTATGGAAGAAAAACCCACTTTTTAGACAATATTTATCTGGTTTTGTGTATTTCAGCTACTGATGGAACTATTAATGGTAGCATTCTTCACAAAGTCAAGATTAAAGACTAAATACTACTTATAGTGAAGAATACTGGGGAATGATCTTTTATCTTACGAGCAGTTCTCACAGTACTGTGTCCAGACAGCTACCCTGCCCTCTCTTAAGTGCAAAGGTAGGCCTGTCTCTATAAAGTTATGGATTTTTCTATCAACCTGAACATTTAAAGTAAGTTTCCTTTTATGAATTCTTGCTCATTATCTGTATATCAGCATTAAGAGGAATTTCCTTAACAGGATGAAATCAATTTTATGTCTATGCTGAAATGTAGACAAATCAAGAAATATCTTTAAATATCCATAGTTTTAAAAATATGAATGTGAATTATAAAGTAAGGTTCTTCCTCAGATAATTCAAATATAAATTAAATCTGTCAAAAAAACTGAAGTGAATAAAGCATCCAAAAATCCCTCAGGTTTCTACTGTTATATGACACCATTAAGTGCACAAAAAGGAGTGTGTGTGCGTGTGTGTGTTTATTTTATTCATGTATAAAATAAATAAATAAAAAAAGTCCAAAACATTTAATTAAATAAAAAATTCAAACAAGACCCAAGTAAGTTCTTAAAAAATTATGAATAATAAACTCATACAATATTACAGCTGAATAAATGATAATTACATGCAGGCCCTCTGGATCTCAAAACTTAGCCATTAACTTTTGCCTAATAATAAGAACCTCAACAAGGTTTAATTATGTCAGGTCTTACACCTTTCCTAATTGAATGACCCAATAAATTTTCTATCACATTTGCCCCTCATTTTATTCTCAATCTTCACAACTGGATGTTCTATTGTGAGTAACGATGAAATCCATACCATGAAATTTAAGTTGCAGAAAAATCAGAATGCAAATCTTGGATATTTGACTCATATAGAGATTGCAAGGAATGGATGATTAAGAAAAAAGGCATGTTCGTCCTTTATCTGATAAGTGAGTTGACTGTAATGCCAATGGAAATTCTGTATTAAGCAATACTTAATACTTAAGTCCATTTCAAAATGTTTTACAAAAATATACCAATTAACAATGAAGACAAAATAACTTGATTTGATATTAAGAACATGATAAGCAATTATATTATTAAACTAATCAACACACAACTTTACCACAATTTATAAACTCAGGAGGCCAACAGAACTTCATAAATTCTCCAAATGAACTAATATACAATTTAAAAATAAAATTGCCAGATATATCAGATTATTCTGAATTTTAGAAAATTTTGCTATGATTACTCATAATAATTTTTTGAGACTTTAAATAGGCAGGATAAATACAACTGCCTAAGTTTTAAAAGACATATTATAGGTGGCATTCATGATTACATTTGGAAAATTAATATTCAAAGTTACACAGATACCACTTAAAAATTTATAGGAACATATGACAGCTAGTATCCACTCTATTAGGTAGAGTGGAAACACTTTCTTAATATTTTTACATGCCATATTTTAGGAAAAAGGTGGTCCACATTTAATTGAAAGAACCTTGTAAAGTTAAACACCTGCATTTCCTCTCATATATTATATATTCCAATGGTCATCATAATAGAATTTCCTATATTAAATGGTTGTTAAATTGTCTAGTATCTAATTGTTAAGTAAATGGTTATATAATTTATTCCAGACACCTATATCTAAATATATGGCTTCAGTTGAGCATCGACCTATGAACCAGGAGGTCACTGTTCAATTTTTGGTCAGAGCATATGCCCAGGTTGTGGGTTCGATCCCCAATGTGGGGCACGCAGGAGGCAGCTGACCAGTGATTCTCTCTCATCATTGATGTTTCTATCTCTCTCTCCTCCCTTTCTCTCTGAAATCAATAAAAATACATTAAATATATTGGCTTCTCCTACTGTGCCTCATACCACATGGGCTCAATATGTTTAAATGAATTCAACATAGTTACTGGAAGCAGTGTAGTGTAGCAGGTAAGAGCTAGGACTTTTGGCACCAGATTGCCTGGGTTAAAATTCCAGCTCTTACACTTATTGTTTGACCCTTAGCAAGTTACTTATCCTCTGTGTACTTTATTTGACACATATGTAAAATAGAAGTGATCATAGAGTATTTACTTTGTACAGTTGTTGTGAGGATTAAATGAGTTAATTTATGAAAAGCACTTAGAAGTATGCTTGACACCCTTTATGTGTTATTCATTATCATCATGGTCAATACAATAATGATCTAAAAAAATCCTGTGAAAAGTATCTCCATGTACAAATGCAGAATTCCATATAGATAGGGAGTCTACTTGTTCAGTATTACTTGGTAGACCACTATTTTAGTGATGATTTTATTTGGAATTTTAATACCTCACTGAGATACACTAGAGATTATTCTCAATCAATTTTTATTTCTTGAAATAAAAGTAATAAGGAATTTAAACTTATACAGAGGATAAATGGACATTATGGCATAAGAACCAAGTGTAAAGTGTGACCCTTACTATGTTACAGATCTGAACAAATCAAATCCAGAAACATACTTTTTTAGACAATTAGTATTTCTTAGATCAGTATCTTTCAACTTTCAAGAACCTACAAACCACCTAAGGATCTTGTTAAAATGTAGATTCTGGCCCAGCCAGTGCTGCTCAGTAGTTGAGCATAGATTCATGAACCAGGACGTCACAGATCGATTCCTGGTCAGGGCACATGCCTGGATTGCAGGCTTCATCCCGGGTAGGGGGCATGAAGGAGGCAGCCAACTGATGATTCTCTCTCATCACTGATGTTTCCATCTCTCTTTCCCTCTCCCTTCCTCTCTCTGAAATCACTAAAATATCTTTTTTTTTATAAAAGCAGATTCTGAGTAAGTTTGGGGTGGAGCTTGAGATTTCTAATAAGCCCCGAGGTGATAACCACACTGCTGGTGCATGGAGCACACTCTGAGTAACAAGATGTTAGATAATACGGGGCAGTTACTGTCAATTATATGGTACATGATAAAGACACTGTGGTTCTGCAAGAAGATGTCAGAACTTTTCAGAGATGCTCCAGGATTTACACAGAGGTGAAATGACAAGATGCCTGGAACTCACTACAGCAAGTGATAGAGATGAAGGTTGGCCACAAAATCTTAACTAGTGAATCTGAGTAATGGGCATTTGGATATTCCCTGTACTGTTCTATTATTGTGTATATTTGAAAGCTTTCATAATAAAAAGTAATTTTATAAAAACTTGGAAAAAATTTCCATCGTGAGCTTGAAGAAAATAATTATATTCAAGACTTTTCCTAGTCCTGTATAGATCAAAGAAAATATAAACTTCAGGAAGCCCTTCAAAATAACAAAACAGCTAATTTTTTTTCAAACTTCATTTTCTATCTTTTTTTTCAAATATATTTTTATTGATTTTAGAGAGGAAGGAAGAGGGAGAGTTAGAAACATCAATGATGAGAAGAATCACTGATCGGCTGCCTCCTGCACGCCCCCCACTGGGGATCCAGTCCGCAACCCGGGCATGTGCCCTTGACCAGAATCGAACCTGGGACCCTTCAGTCCACAGGCCGACGCTCTATCCATTGAGCCAAACTGGCTAGGGCTTCATTTTCTATCTTAAGGCTTTAAAATATTACTATTCAAAGCCTTACATGTTTAATTTCTTCCATCAAATCTGCTGCTTAGGTCTACCTGGTTCAACCAGAAGATTTGCTCATGTTTCTTGGAAGTTAATACTTACCTGTGATGGCTCTGAAGTGGTTTCATTTGTGACTCCAGTGACACTTACAGGGGAGACTTCAACTGTGACATCATCTAGGCCTGGGATAGATGACAACTGAAAAAAGAAAATTCATATTGGTATACGAGGATAATAATAGGTGCTTAAATATTGTAAATCTCTAGGTGTGTGTTTTAAATAGCTGTTATGTTTTTAAGCCTATAGAACAGGGGTGGGCAAACTTTTTGACTCGAGGGCCACAATGGGTTCTTAAACTGGACCGGAGGGCCAGAACAAAAGCATGGATGGAGTGTTTGTGTGAACTAATATAAATTCAAAGTAAACATCATTACATAAAAGGGTACGGTCTTTTTTTTTTTTTAGTTTTATTCATTTCAAGCGGGCCGTAGTTTGCCCACGGCTGCTATAGAAACAAGTTTATAAAAATCTCATTTTTGGTGTTTGAAATTCGCCATGCCACAAACTAGTTAAAACGGGAAAGGCAATCACAAATAAAATATTTTTGAACAATTTCTTACAAATCTAACTTAGATTATAAACATTCTTTTCCCAGGAATTACTTTGAAAATATAAGAAATCCCAGTGTAAGTAATGAGAGCATGGGCTTTGGAGTCAAAGTGCCTGCTTTTAGGTCACAAGCATGTGACCTTGTATAAATCTTCGTAGGCCTCAATTTTCTCACCTGTAGAGTGGGGATAAAAAAATATTTACCTCACAAAAATGTTAAAAGATTATTACTAAACATACTTTGTGAAAACAAAGTGCTGTGTAGCACTTTTTTAAAAAAATCCTCATCTGAGGATATTTTTTCAATTGATTTCATTGATTTTTAGAGAGAGTGGAAGGGAGGGAGAGGGAGTGGGAGGAGAGGGAGAGAAACATCAATGTGAGAGACACATCAATTGATTGCCTCCCACACTTGCCCCGATGGGAGCTAGGGATCAAACCTGCAACCAAGGTATGTGCCCTTGACCCGGAATGGAACTGGAGACAGGTGTGTAGGCTGACGCTCCAACCAGTTAGGCACACGGCCAGCGCTTTGTAGCACATTTTAAGTATCCATTATTTGAGAAATGACAAAACTCTTTTTCTAAAGATATTTATTATTATTTTTTTTAAACTTGACATATTGTTGTTTTTTAATTTACTGAATTTAGAGAGAGGAAGAGAGAATACTGATTTGTTGTTCCATCTATTTGCAACCATTGGTTGATTCTCCCATGTGCCCTGACTAGGAATCTAAACAACTGAGCTACTTGGCCAGGGCTGACAAAACTCCTCATCACATTTTAACGTCTGACACAGCTCACTCTTTTCTTCTTTCTTTAAACATTTACCACTGAATGCTACTAAAATGTGTTTATTTTTCATGCACAAAAGATGGGTGTGCTGTCAGTGGTTGAGCATTTCAGGTTGGAGTTGCACAATCCATGTAAAACCTCTTTTCCAATTTCACCTTCATATCAATGATATACATTTGTCAGATGTTTGGCTAGTTTCGGAGATTAACTCTATGACCATTGAAATAATTAAGGTTAACTTGTCCACATAGTAACTTAATTTATGACCTTGGACTCTAACTCAAGAATTCCCCAAACATTAAAACAAGACACATAACTATAATAAAGAATAATGAAAAAAAACAATATTAATAAGACCTGAAGCAGTGGTGTTTATTGAGAACTGTTGACTGATGACAGGACTTAGCACAGTGGCTATGGCCCAAATAGTTTCAAGTGGGCATGGCTGCTACAATTTCTTGCACATATTCAAGGCCAGGTATCCTAAATTTTCCAAGCTAAAGAAATGTTCTGAGAGAAATATAGTGGCTGAAGTCTATCAGAAGATATAGAAAGTATAAACTAGACATCCTAATCCTTATGCTAAAAATATTAGTCATTTTACTTCCTAATAAATATGTAATATTTTTTGATTTTTTTTGATAAAATGACAAAGTCACAAAAATATGCTAGTGTTTCCCTTACTTTATAAACAGAAAAAACCGCACAAAATCTGCAAGGTTTCAAATCAAAACACTCATTTTTGCTAGTTATCTTTTGTAATTTCTGACATCAAAATGTGTATTCTCCAATATGTATTTAATATATTTGTAAATAGAAAATAGTTGATATTTTCTCCAAATTTTGCTCTGGAGACATCTCAAGTTTTATATAATTTTTACTGTGTTATCAAATGATTACTATTAAGAAAACTGAAAAATTTCCATCAAATGAAGCAAATTATGTAATAGCTCAATTTGTTAACATGTTACTCACACTTTAGACTAGAATTAAAGAAATCTCAATCCATATGTACATTTATTTATTTATTTATTAATATTTGTATTGATTTCAGAGAAAAAAGGAAAGGGAGAGATAAAAACATCAATGATGAGAGAGAATCATTGATTGGCTGCCTCCTGCAGGCCCCACACTGGGGATGGAGCCCATAACCCGGGCATGTGCCCTTGACCGGAAACGAACGTGGGACCCTTCAGTCCACAGGCCAATGCTCTATCCATTGAACCAAACCAGCTAGGGTCATGTGTGCATTTAAATAGACTCAGGCTCATAATAAATTTCTTTTCCTTTTTAAATTATAATGAATTAAAAAAAACCCAAAGAACATTGTATCACCTCAGGATGCAGGAGCTGTTTAATTAGTTATTAAGTGCAATTGAAGTATAACTGAGAAAGTTGATAAGTGTACAGCAACGTTTTTCCCATAAATTATTCAGAAATACAAACCTTTGCATCTAAAATATTGAGAGTTGTTTCAATTTGCTGGATACGAAGAGAAAGGTCTGCCAGCTTCTGGAAAAGATTAGAAACAAAAGAATGAAGTCTGATTAAAATAAACTTACGGTTAACAAAGGGCAGATTGGAAAATAATAAAAACTATGGTTTAAGTATGTAATTTTCTAATATACTACTCTCTCATTTATATGAGTAGGAATAGGAACTAAAGTCTCCTATTATTTTCATTAGCATGCTTCACAATTATTTTATAAAACTGTTTCACAGATAAGAAGTTACATTTACAGCCTTATCAAACTCATTATCAGAGCTACAATCAATACTGGGATCAGAATGTAAACTCCTCCCAGGACAGAGTTTCTGTTCACTGCTTTTCCCCAGTGCCCAGGATAGTACTCGATACTTAATAGGAGCCTAGTAATTATTTGTTGATGAATGAAGAAATTCTTCACAGAAAACAGTAATAAAAAAATTAACACAAGACAACCTGGAACAGTATCTGCCTTTATAAATTACTTTAACACGTAAGTATATACAATTAGTCCTAAATTCAAACTGAAAGGACGAGGGCTAGGCCCTCCACCTTGCCCCAGGGTAAGGGCTAGGCCCTCCACCTTGCCCCAGGGTAAGGGCTACGTCCTCCATCTTACCTTGGCCACCTGCTTGGCAAGGACCTTCTTCCCGGAAGTCTAAGACTCTGCTAGCCACACCCAGGAACAAGACATCGACTTGCGCCTGGCCAATCGGCAGAGCACAGTCCTTTCTCCTCCCCTTACTCCAACCCCCCCTTTAAAACCCGTCTCTAGGCGGGGTTCTGTCTCTCAGCCACTTGGCTTGTCATTGTGTCGGTGAGTCTGGTGGATGGGAGCTCAAGCTAGCTTGAAATACAGATTCTTATGCTTTTGCATCGGATTGGCTGGCTCCCTGATGTGGTTTCTTGGGAATCTTGAAATCTGGGCATAACACAAACTTTTCAAGTTTGAAAAGTAAAAGGAGATGAAATTGAAAGATGAGAGTTCATGTTGAAAAGAATTAAAAAAACAAACAAAAACACACACACACCAGAGTTCTAAAAAGCAAAAGGAATCAATCTACCATCAAAATCCCAAATAAACTAGAACCATAGGCTTACTGTGCTCTAGTTACTCTGCACAATTAAATTATCTATATCTATCTATCTATCTATCTATCTACCTACCTACCTATCATCTATCACCACACAAAAGTAACATCATAAATTATGAACCATAAGAACATTTATTTAAAGTGCCCTAATTCTAAACATTATTATATTTAGTGACAGTGCAAGAGCAGTTTGCCAGTTTTCTAGTAGGCCAATACATAGCAATTTGACTGCTTTCTAGGATATTATCTCGTAAGCAGATTTGGTCATTTTGCCCATATTTAGAAAGAGAGAAAACCTGAAAGCCACCACAGAGTAGTTAGTGCTTTTTCACTTATTTTTAAGATAAGCATCTTGATATTTTTAAAGATATAATTTACAAATAAAACACCAAAATCTAGTTTTAATGGCATTCAATGCTAACTTTAACTTTGATTTCTAGGATTTGTTCACAGAAGGCTTTTATATAAAGGTAAAACAGGTTTATAAAATACCGTATATATGAATTCCTCGCCAAATTATAAGTTGTTTTCCTGAAAATCATGAAAATTACATATTGGTCAATTTAATCAATCTTTTAATTCACTACAGAAGCTTAGCAATTGCAGAAATCCTACAGCAAATTAATGTGCAAACTGAATGATAATTTCTGACTTTTACATATCATTTGAAATTTCACACCAAATGTATGAAGTAGGAATTATCATTATGACAATTTTCAGCTGAGAATAAATAGTAAGTCTTCAAACAAGTAAAATAATCTGAGCTCAAATACTGCAATTCCAGGTACTTTTTTTTTTTCAAGGTACTTTTTTGAAAGAATTTTACATTGTTTTGAAAGAGTTTTACACTGTTAAAACATGATGCCAGCCCAGCCGGTGTGGCTCAGTGGTTGAGTGTTGACCTATGAACCAGGAGATCACAGTTCAGTAACTGGTCAGGGCACATGACAGGGTTGTGGGCTCGATAACCTGTAGTGTGTGTGCAGGAGGCAGCCGATCAATGATTCTCTCTCATCATTGATGTTCCTATTTCTCTCTCCTTCTCCCTTCTTCTCTGAAATCAATAAAAATATATTTTAAAAATACACACACAAATAAAACATGATGCCATAGGTGATTATGTGTCAATGTAAATTGTAACAAATTGGTTTTAACAAATCCCTCCCGCTGGTGGGGGATGCTGATTAGCAGGAAAGATTGTGCATGGAGGTGAGGGGTTAGCAAGTATATGGAAACTCAGTGCTTTCTGCTCATCACTGAGTGTTTCTGTGAAGTTAAAACTGCTTTAAAAAATAAAGCTTATTAATAAAAAAGATGGAAATTACTGAGTATTTCCTAGATAAGATTTTTTCTTATTCAAAGCTAATAAATAATAAATTCTTTTCTTACTAAGACAAAGGATGCTACTGTGCTATAAACACTGGGGATCACATTTTTCTGATCAAATTTCCTAAGACAGATGCTATTTATTTGAAATTATTTAAAAATTGGTATTAAGTTCTTTTCAAGGTTAGATCATAATACTAAATTGTCCTTCAATTAATACTCAATGATTCATATTTAAAAATCGGTATTAAATTTTTTCAGGGTTAGATCATAAAACTAAATTGTCCTTCAATGAGTAGTCAGTCAATGATTCATAGCAGAGAGGCTAAGGATTAAAATACAAGTCTTAGTAAAGAGGAAATGAGAATGAAAACATTTATTTAGAAAATTACTTGTTGATACAGAAGATTAGAGCCTTGGACAAAAAAGTTATAGTCGGCCCTCCATACCTACAGGGCCTGCATCCTTGGATTCAAACAAACAGGAACAAAAATATTAAGGAGAAAGTTACGCGTTGCTAACATTTACTAAGTAGATGGACTACAAGGTTGTGTCTGCACTAAATATGTACTTTTTTTTTCCTTGTCATTATTCCCTAAATAACACAGCACAGCAATTATTTACATAGTATTTACATTGTATTAGGTATTTTAAGAAATCTAGAAATGACTTGAAGTGTACAGGAGGATGTGTGCAGATTATATGCAAATACAACACCATCTATATATATAAAAGCCTAAGCAACAGAATGACTGAACAACCAGTCACTATGACACGCACTGACCACCAGGGGGCAGACGCTCAATGCAGGAGGTGATCCCCGCTGGTCAGTGCACTCCCACAGCCAACCTCCCACGGTCCCTTCCCCTGGCTAGCCAACCTCCCGCGGCCCCGATGGGCCCAATTGCAGGCCAGGCTTGAGGGATCCCACCCGTGCATGAATTGGTGCAGTGGGCCTCCAGTTTTACATAAAGGACTTGTGCATCCCCAGATATTAGTGTCTCTGCAGGTCCTAAAACCAATCTCCCGTGGATACTGAGGGATGACTTTACTTTCTAGAGCAATAATTCTCATTTTTTTGGATGCAGATTCATGTGGTATATTAACCTTTGGCTTTAGCACTCATTTTACCTACTCTCATCTTCTTTATCAAAACCTCACCAAACCCTACCTGCTTTGGCTCAGTGGATAGAGCATTGGCCTGCAGACTGAAGGGTCCCAGGTTTGATTCTGCTCAAGGGCATATGCCGGGGTTGTGGACTCAATCCCCAGTAGGGGGCATGCAGGAGGCAGTCGATCAATGATTCTCATCATTGATTCTATCCCTCCCTCTCCCTTTCTCTCTGGAATCAATAAAAATATATATTAAAACAAAAAAACCTCACCAAAATAAAATATTTTTAAAAAAAACAATACAAGATCATAGGAATGATTTATTCATGCAAGACATGAAAGACACTGATCTAAACATCAATATATTCTTATCTAAATATCCTTGATATCTAATCTAATAACAACCACAATTGTGAAATACAGTAGTCCCCCTTTCTCTGTGGTTTTAGTTACCCAGGTCAACCATAGTCCAAAAATATTAAATGGTAAATTCCAGAAACGATTCATAAGTTTTAAATTGCATGCCATTCTGAATAGCATGACAGAATCTTGTTTATCACTCACCTATTTCTAAGGTAGTGCATTTTATTAAAGTGCAAAAGAAGATGAGAAGAAAAAATATGAAGTGAATAATTAAACATGAAAACAAAAATAAAATCCTGTAGATTTTTTCAGATTTGTAAAATACCTAATCCACTAAAAGAAAAACAGTATTTTAAAATAATGGATCTCTTGGTATATCACACTGGACTGCACATGTCCTAGAAGTCAGAAAGAAGAGCAATTGCTTGTTTTATTAAGCTTCATCTGACACATAAGCTCAGAAGTTGTAAAAGCAGTTGTAAACATGTAGCATTACATAGGGTTTTAAACAAAACATTATTTGGTTGCAGATTAACCCTACCAGACCGCTGTACCTATTTTTCGGTAATTTCCACACAAAGGTGGAATATTGGCACTAGATGAAAGGTAGATGAAAGGTAGACCTATTTTCTACAATGTCTCCAAGTTCCATCTTATTCTAACCACTTGTTTGCATGTAACTAACATTTTTCTATATCATATTGGTTTTTTCTCTTTAATGCTCAGGAGCCCAGGTATAGGGGACAGTTAGGTTCAGGGCCTCAGGTCTGGTAGGATTAAGTCCAATGGTGGACTTAAAATTGGATGTAGAAGATAAGCACCACAGCCCTAGCCAGTTGGCCCAGTGGACAGGGCGTTGGCCTGTGGACTGAAGGGTCCCGGGTGAGATTCCAGTCAAGGGCACGTACCTCGGTTGCAGGCTCCTCCCTGGTCTGAGCCCCCCTGGTTGGGGTTCATGCAGGAAGCAACCAATAGATGTGTTTCTCTTACATCGATATTTCTCTCTGTCTTTCCCTTTCTCTCCCATTCTCTCTAAAAAATCAATGGAAAAATATCCTTGGATGAGGATTAAAAAAAAAAAAAAGATAAGCTCTATAAAGTTTTTTAGATTATGTGAGGCTTCTAAGCACTTCTGTCTATACTTAAGATTTTTTTAAAAAAGCATTTTAGAATATTTAAAAATGATTAAAACCTCAGTGTTCTAGGCATGTTACAAGTCTGAGTCAAAATAACACATCTGACTGCTCTGTTTATAGGGTACCTTTGACTTTAAAATTCACTATAAAAGGTTAAATTTCTGCTGAGTTTTATTTGCAATGTGCACAGAACTTGCATTGTGCCCCCCTCCCCCATTTAAATTTGCAGTCTCAGTAAGATTTTGCTGATTAGGGCCAGAATAGAAATGCTTACTGGGGATCTGTGAAGAAGAAGAGATGACCCTAAGTAACTCTGTAACTCTGATTCAACTACTTTCCTTTCTCCATCTTCTAACTTCTCTCCTACCCTGGTTCCAATCATTAGAGTTACAAAGTAGCCTGATATCCAGAAAGCTTTTTAAAAAATCTAGTTCTTCACTTTTTTCTTTATTCTAAAACTAGTATTAGTGATGAAGAGAGCCCCAACAATTTCTTTGAAATTTAATTCCAGGTTGAGTTTAGCAGTGAATGAAGTTGTTACAGTTTAGTTCAAACCGGATTATGTGAAAAACAAAAACAACAAAAATAATAGGTTCTCCCCTCTCCCTCAGTTCACTTCCAGTTAAAATAACACCCGAGGTTCACTTTTTTGTGAAGGGAAACACAGTCATTTGGTTCCTGTTTGAGACTTTAACTAAACAAGGATTAGTAGGTGCTATTAACAATTTACAATATAATTCGAAAAACCACATTAATCTTAAAGTGGGAGAGAAAATGGCACTTTATGTTTAAATACATATATTACATCTATTAAAAAGACATTACATCTAATGGACATGGCATAGCAAAAAAAGAGAATACAAATCTAAACAGTTATAAGTGTCGGCTGGTGCACTGAAGGGTCCACAGGTTTGATTTGGGGCATGTGTGGTAGGCAAATAATCAATGTGTCTCTCTCACATGGATGTTTCTCTCTCTCTCTCTCTCTCTCTCTCTCTCTCTCTCAGAAAAAAAAAATCAATGGAAAAAATATCCTCAGGTGAGGATTACCTAAATAAATAAATAAATAAATTTTGAAACGGCTATAAAGAGGACACCACAGTCTCACTTGAAAGTGATGTAAACATACCTCTTATTCATTACAGAAGGTGCAATATAACAGAACAGTGAGACATTTTTGCATTTTTCAGTTACTGGATCAGAGTCGGAATCCCAGCTCTGCTACTTTCTAGCTGTATGTGGGCAAATTAGAGCAGTGACTGCAGCTATAAATACCAAGCACTCAAATATATGTTGAATGAGTGAATGGATGACTAAGCAAATGGTTTAAACTTCTCTACATCTTGGTTTCTGTAGCTCTAAAAGAGAGAAAACTGGACCTCTCCCAAAAGGCTGGGCTGTGATGATTAAATGCATGCAAAGCACTTAGTACAATACCTAACACAGAACAAGCCCACAATAAATATTAGTTATTGTCATCGTACCAAGCAAACAGCCTATACACTGCTGAAATATGGATTATAAAACATGAGTTACTATCAACTTAGATGATCATCCATTAAGGAGAAAAAGGCAATAAACAACATTTAAACTTCATGAGTTTTTGGTCTAGTTTTGTGTCTAGAGTTCAAGGAAGAACAAGGGACTATTGAAACAGTCAAAACAGTTGAGGGGAAGTTTAGAGAGAAACAGAAGGAAAGAAAAGAATGGATCATGAGGCTCTGATGATTAATAAGCAATCAATAAATAAGAGATGGTTATTATATAAATAGCACTCACTCCTCAGTGAAAATTGTCAGGCACTATTAAGTTGAGGGTCTGTCCTTGGCCCAGAGAAGGTCAATCAAGTTGCTTTCATAGGTTTGTTGTTTATTTTCTTTTTTAACTGGTGAGTAGAAATCTGGGGATGGAGTATTTGCTCCTTTCTGCTAACAATCCTGGAATAATCTCTCCTCAGATACTTCACCTTACCCTGACATAAAAAAATAAGGGACTAAATCCTTGGCTTACTTCTTTTTAACCAGTCAATGCTATATCCCGTTTAGAGAGGCAACAGTGTAAGGTAAAACTCAGGGAAGCAAGCACCTAGTCTTTGGGTGATAAAATGAATTGAGCTCCTTAATCTATCAACAATCATTTCACTTCTTTTTGTCTTAGAGAGAAGACAGAAGAGATTTTGATAACTAGACAAAAACAGCAGCTGGAATCTTTAAGTGAAAATAGTTTTCCTGTCTCCATGCAATTTTTATTCATAAATCACCCCAAAAAACTCCACTTAATAAGGTTATACCTTATATGAAATACAAGACAGAATAAACTGAATACTGTTTATTTAATCGGCTCACCTGATTGTGAATTATCAAATTTTACCCTTTTCTCCTTTCTTAAACCCAATTCCAACCCATGTTTCTCCCCATTCTTCCTTTTTTTTGGCCTTTATTTATTTATTTTGATGATTATTTTTTATTAAATTTATTGGGGTGACATTGGTTAATATGATCATACAGGTTTTTAGGTGTGGGTTTCTATGTTACACTATCTGCATATTGCACTGTGTGCCCACCATGCAAAGTCAGATCTTCTCCCTTCACCATATATTAGGTCCCCTTAACCACCTCCCTCCCTGGCAAGCCTTTATTTTTCAAGGACAGGGATCCCTGAATCTAGCAACTAATGCTTAATTGGGTACTGAATCTTCACTTCACAAGTGAATTTGCAGACAGTATTTTTATTTCCATAATGAGATTTGATGCCAAAGTTATGTTTTAGGCCAGTGATGGCGAACCTATGACACGCGTGTCAGAAGTGACATTCGAACTCATTTTTTTTGGTTGATTTTTCTTTGTTAAATGGCATTTAAATATATAAAATAAATATAAAAATATAAATCTTGTTTTACTATGGTTGCAAATATCAAAATATTTCTATATGTGACACGGCACCAGAGTTAAGTTAGGGTTTTTCAAAATGCTGACACGCCGAGCTCAAAAGGTTCGCTATCACTGTTTTAGGCTATCTTCTTAACCATTTTTGGGGGTCAAGGAATGTAAAGTAATTTTAATGCAAACTGAAACAATGTGTACCTAAAAATGTAAATTTTTGGGGTAAGAGAAACAGCCAATTTGAAAATTAAAAAAAAAAAAAGCTTTCAACTGTGATGTTTTGGAATTCCTTCTGTTCTCTTTAATCACAATACACCTTACTGACCGTACTTCCCAAAGGCCTCTAGAAAATTCAGCAGGGATAGGGGGTACAGGATTGATGGAACAGAATCAAAGAGGACTTAAAGTTTGTTAGCATAATAACTGAGTGACCAGGTCATGATATGCGAACAGACTATCATTCTCGTTTTATTCGTTTGCTGCCTTCAAAAGTGCAAGGTGATTTCTAGGCTGCTCACGAGACCGGATCCCAGGACCTACCTCCTCACAGACTGTGGAGAAGCGGTTGAGGAACTGCACCGTGTGCACCACAAACTGGTTTAGAAATGCCACCGTTCTTTTCTGTTGGATAGCTGGCACCTGCGTTATGTGAAAGAAAGAGGTGATTCGTACAGGAGGAACGTACACTGAGCAATCCCTTTGGCGTGTGCGACCAGGGGTGCTTTGCTGTGCGGTATGAGCCCCTTGGGGTCCTCGGAATAGCCCTGAACTTGCTTTCCTGCCCCGTGGGGGTGGGGCGTCCCAAGATGACGGAGGCCACCGAAAAGTTCAGAATGGGCTCTGGATTCACAAGTACGAACTTGCCGGTGAGGACCACACACAGAAACACACAAAAACCCTGGGGGCCGAATACAAGAGGGAGGGTTTGAGGTCACAACCGGCTCACGTCGCCAGTGCGTCACCCTTGAGCAGGCAGACTCGTGACAGGGGAAGCGAAGGCTGGGAAGCACGCTAACCCCTTAAGCAGCTCGGGAGGGACCCCGTTCGAAGGTGGACAGTGGGACTCTCCCACCCGAGGTCTGCAGAAGAGCAACCTGCGGTCAGGGACAGCGGGAGGCATGGGAGATGGGGTCTCCCTGAAAACCCGGCGTCCCTTCACCATCCTCCTCCCAGGTCACCGGAAGTCCAACTCCTTCTTTTACAAACCTTGGTCAGGTCAATGCCTGACCCCATGAGAGGAAGCCCGTCCTCATCCATCTCCTCAGCGGGCGGGGGACCCAGGCATCACCCACAAACCCTCCCCGCTGTGGTCCATCCAACCCCGCAATAGTGTTAGAACGTCTCCCCAAGTCCCCGCCTCCCGGGCCCTTCCTTCCGGAAGGAAACGCCTTCGCACGCCAATCACTCAGCGGTTCTCGGAGAGCCCGCCCACTCGCCTGGCATTCTGGGATTGGTAGTTCTAGTTCCAGATTGTAACGTCAGTCCAGGGGGCGTGAGGTGGAGCGAGGCTGCGGTTCTAGCAGGAAAACCTTAACATCGTGGCAAAAAGGAAAAGTAAAAAATTGCGACTGTTTGAGTTCTCCTTGCCTAGTCCTGTTATCTAAGTAGCTCATTTGTTAATCAAATAGTCACTTGTTTATCAAGGGAAAATAGCGTTTAGTGTTGGCTTTGTCAGGGAACCATTATAGAGGCAGCTGCACCCTCTGATCCAAGAGTGGCTCCACCAAGTTCCTTTACCAGGAAGCACACTCAGCATCTCAGCATCAGTGCACCACAGGTTTGAACTAAAAGCGCATCTGGGCTTTATCTCAAGTTTTTTGTGCATCCGTTAGCAAGGTATGTCCTAAGGCAGTGGTTCTCAACCTTAGCTGCACATTAGAATCACCTGGGAATCTTTTTAAAATCCTGATTTCTGGGCCTCATCCTCCAGAAATTGTTTCTTTGTTACTAACGTTGTGGCCTCGCCCCATAACAAAGAAACAGAATTTCCGGAGGGTGAGGCCCAGAAATCAGGATTTTAAAAAGATTCCCAGGTGATTCTAATGTGCAGCCAAGGTTGAGAACCACTGTCCTAAGGCCATGGTCAGCAAACTGCGGCTCTGGAGCCACATGCGGCTCTTTGGCCCTTGAGTGTGGCTCTCCCTAAGCCTTAGGGTACCCTAATTAAGTTAATAACAATGTACCTACCTATATAGTTTAAGTTTAAAAAATTTGGCTCTCCAAAGAAATTTCAATCGTTGTACTGTTGATATTTGGCTCGGTTGACTAATGAGTTTGCCAATCACTGTCTAAGGTATCCAAAACCCTAAGCTCCTAAGGGTGTTAGCATAAAACTGGACATAATTAAACATTTAGATCCTTGTAAACAAAATAAAGACATTGTGCATGTACTAAATTTTGAGACTGAGAAAGCTCAAAATGTTTTCCATATAAATTAATGGTAATTGCTTCTTCGTTTCACACCATTTCAGCCTATGAATGCTCTACTTTTGGACAGAGGAGGAAACTTGTAACAGGCTAGGGACTGGTTGATTTGCATATGAAAACGTGCTTCCAAGTAAGTTGTTTTATTACCTTTAGGCATCAGTTAGCCACAAATGTCCTTCAAGAATACAGAAAACAGCCCTAGCCAGTTTGGTTCAGTGGATAGAGTGTTGGCCTGCGGACAGAAGGGTCTTGGATTCAATTCTGATCAAGGGCACATGCCTGGGTTATAGGCTCCATCCCAGTAGGAGGTGTGCAGGAGGGAGCCAATTGATGATTCTCATCACTGATATTTTTCTCACTCTCCCTTCCTCTCTGAAATCAATAAAAATACAGTGGGGCCTTGACTTACGAGTGTCCCGACTAACGAGTTTTTCGAGATACGACATCTCTTGGCCGATTTTTTGCTTTGAGTTGCGAGCTAAAATTTGGGTTACGAGCCAGCTTCAGATAACCCACCGCTAGTTGGCGCAGCGAACGTCACAGTGAATGCCACAACATCAGCCCAGCATCACGTGTCTCACTCGTTCACTTTTGATTTGACATACGAGTAATTTGAGTTACGAGCTCCATCACAGAACAAATTAAACTCGTAAGTCAAGGCCCCACTGTACTTTTAAAAAATACAGAAAATAAATATCCTATATAATAAAAGCCTAATATGCTAGGTATCCGGTCGTTGGTTCAACCAATCAAAGTGTAATATGCTAATGATATGCTAAGGCTGTTCAACTGCCTGCTCGCTATGACGTTCACTGACCACCAGGGGGCAGACAGTCGACTGGTCAACCAGCCCTTAGGACAGGGGGCAGAGGCTCCGACTGGTAGGTTAGCTTGCTGCTGAGGTCCGGCTAATCTGGACTGAGTGAGAAGGGTCAGGCATGCCTTGGAGCTCTCTCGTGGTCCCTCCTCTGCTAGCCAACCTCCCGCATCCCTCCCCAGCCTGGCCTGCACCCTCTTGCAATCTGGGACCCCTTGGGGGATGTCAGAGAGCCAGTTTTGGCCTGATCCTGCAGGCCAGGCCGAGGGACCCTACTGGTGCATGAATTTGTGCACCGGGCCTCTAGTAGTCAATATAATGAGACTTGTAATGAATGGATGCTTAAAAGACAAATATAAAATCTAAGAAAACACATATCACTCACCTCCATATGTGGACTTTCAAGTAATGAGTTCAGTAAGATACCTCTCTACTGAGTAGGGTCTCAATTCAGTTTCTCAAGAGGTGAGCACAAGGGAAGGAGTAACTGCCTGGCTACAAAAGAGGTGGAGGGCATTTGGGAGAACTAATCATTCCCCATCCAGACTCTCCATCAAACATGTTTTAGTGACCCCTGAAAGACTCCACCCTCCCTTCAGAACTGATGCCCCAAGAAATCCAAGAGTCTTAACTTTCCTGCCTTAGATGATGCCATTTCTCTTTTAATCCTTATACCAAGCCATGCTTTCATCACTTGTTTGATACCTTGTACATGCTACCTTTACCTTTTGTGACCATGTGGTATTGCCAACTTCTTTGTAATTTCTTTAAATTCTCTAACAACATTATATAGCTGTGCTACTTAGTAGCTGCCTATTTTTAAGTTAAGGATTTATTATGCAAGTGAAATATTTATCATAGGAAACAAAGAAAAAAGTATAGGAGGAAAAAATGTCACAGTCACTCTTATTAGAAGTAACCATTGACATTTTAATAGAGCCAAGTTATTTTATCTGGAATTCACGATGTCAGATTTGTCCCCCATTGGTGGGGGTATGAATGAGATAGGTTTGTCGTGAGTCTTTGCTTAGGTTTATATACTCTATAGCACTCTGCAGAATAACCCTCTCCATATATTAAAAAATAATTTGCAGCAAATGATGCCACTATCAGCTGCTTCTAATTAACCTCCTTTGGTTGTTTCAGTAAATGACTCAGCACCTGGACTTCTTAAAGTGGTCAGGTTTTTTTGAATCACAACCACATAAAATCACTTAACACTACTCTGGAAGTTCAACATCAACATTTGGTCCTGTAGCCTTGTTTCTAGAGTCCAAAATGATCATGCTAGAACCTTTGCTATTACCCTTTTAAAAAATGGGCCAGGAGGTGTGAGCCAGTCAGTCTAGGAAAGTGGTTCACAATATTTTCCAGTATGTGAAGCCCTTCATAGAAAAAAAAAATTTGAGGATCCCTAGATGATTGTGGTTGGATATTTAATATTCACTGAGCAAACACATACATTGTTGGGGATTTAAAATGGGAACATTAAATGGAAATGGTGAACTATATTGGGAAACCCATCTTTAAAAGCCCCAATTTTTAATTCAAAGATAGTATTTCATGTCCTTTTATTTTCCAGGCTGGGTCCTACTAGTTTTCCTACCATACATCCTGCCTTAGAAAGTCTTGCCTCTTCTGTCACATAGGCAGGAATGGTTAACGGGTTCCGGCTTTCATCTTGAACTCGAGCCAAACCTGGGGTCACATAATAGATACCCAGATGACAGGCACACCTTATATATGAGAACTTTTTAACCCTCTCAAGATTTTTGAATGAGATCTTCAAAACCCACTCTCTCTGAATTGGAGGGAAGGGTTCTCTGGCAGATTCATTCTTCCTCCCTGTTAATGGTGTTTGGGAGGGGAAAGAGGCAGTTGGCAGGATGCCTGACATCATGTAGGGAAGTTGGATTTTGGAGCTGGCTATGTTATCTCAGGACTCCAGGACATTGTGGCTTCAAAGGAAAAAGAGGATTTTGGTAGTGGTAAGATGTGTATAATATTGAGAAACCCTTGCAATAATTCCACATTCTCCCAGTTATTTGCTCTCAATAGGTAGGAAGCAATGACCCAGGGTCTTGTAAAGATCATATACACATGTGAACACATCTTATTGTGGCAGGTGAGTGGGATGATGGGGAAAGGAATAGGTCAAAATGAAAGAACTGCAGAATGGCTCCATGGTCTTGGGGGTTAAAGTATTTGTGGGGTAAGACCTCTGATGCAGCTGTATATACCACCAGGCCCTAGACTTGCTCACAATCAGGCACCAGGGAAATCTCACAGATTTCAATGAGGGATGCATGCACAGATGTTCTCCTTGGTGCAGGCTCTTTGGAGAGAGAGGCATTGTTAGGCATTCACAACACAGCTTAAGGCCCCAGTGTCCAACTCTCAGGAGAACCAGCCATACAGAATATTTGGCAAATATTTCAGATTCTAGAGCAGCCGTGGGCAAACTACGGCCCGTGGGCTGGATCCGGCCCGTTTGAAATGAATAAAACTAAAAAAAAAAAAAAAAGACCGTACCCTTTTATGTAATGATGTTTACTTTGAATTTATATTAGTTCACACAAACACTCCATCCATGCTTTTGTTCCGGCCCTCCGGTCCAGTTTAAGAACCCATTGTGGCCCTCGAGTCAAAAAGTTTGCCCACCCCTGTTCTAGAGAGTCTAAATCTTAATGAAAATAATTTCTACTTATAGGCTAGAAACCAAAGTGAGTTCTTATACAATAATTACAATAAAATCTATTTGTAATAAACAAACACCCAGTTTTCATTAGTACTAGTGGAAGAAAGAATTAGCAATTAGCAAGGAAACATTAAATTAAGAAAAGATGTAGAAAGTTCTTTAAAGAATAACTTAATATTGGTCTGGTTTAAACTTAATGAAGAAAGTCATTTCTTACAGTTACAGTCTAAGTAAAAATGAACCCAAATGAACTAAGCTGTTTAGACAGTCTATCTTCCTTATCTCTGTGGTATAATTTATCACTAGTTGCCTCTGGCTTACTTTAGGGGTTAGCTGTCTGGGCCTTATTTCATTTATACACTGTCTCAAAAATAGAGATTTCCTAAAACAGTATTAGAAAGCTCTTACTAGAGATGGT